CCATCACTCGCTGTCACTCTCTCGTCACTCTCCAGGCCCCGCCCTCCGTCCGCATCTCCCCTCACCGAGCTTGAGGCTTCCCCCATTTAGTGCACCGCCCACTGCCCTTCAGGCTCCAGGCCCCGCCCCCTCTCTCTCGCCTCTCCGCCTACCACTGCCTCCTCGCCCTCTAAGCTCGCGGCCCCGCCCCTTGCCCCGATCAAGCTCACCGTCCACAGCCTCCGCCCACCTCTCTCTGGGTCCGCCCTCATGCTCGAGGCCCCGCCCCCGCTCTCTGTGCCTCAGCTCCTTTAAGGCACTGGTAGCCGAGGGCGCGCGGGTGGGGGACGTTCGGTTTGTCCAGAGTCAGGCAGACACACCCCGGTTGAGGGTCGCCCCTGGGCGAGGGCACGAGGTGAGGCGGGGGATGGGCACCGGAGCCAACACTGCGGAGCACGCTCAGTCCAGGGTCCGGCCGCCCGCTCCGGCTCCAGGCGAGGACTTACAGTGGCCTCCGGAGGGAGAGTGAGCCGAAGTTCTTCTGCTCGAGCTACTATGGAAAAGTACCAGGTGCCGTGATGTCCCTTGCGGGGACAGGCTGCCCGGGCCCAAGGTCTGCGCGCCACGGGGCAACGGTCACAGCCCACCCAGCACCAGGTCAGCCTAGGGAGGCGGAGCCCATATCTCAGTAAGGTCAGCCTCCAGCTGGAAGGCCACCTCTCTGGGCCTCTGTCCCCCTTTAAAATGGTGAACAGTAAGGGCTTCCAGCACTGACCTTTTGAGGTTGTGGGTAGCTCCTCCGACCTCCTAATCCATGGGGGCCTGTAGGGGCAAAAGCAAGCCCAGAGCACACGGCAGGAGCCCCCTCTAAGTGTGCTAAAAAACACCCCTCAGCCTATGTCTGCTAAAATGCCCATACCTGAGCAGTTTCAAAACAGAGGAAAGCCGATAATGGACATTTAATTAAATGTTTCTATACTTACCATATCATTTTCATTAAATATTAGATTCAGTATTTGTAAAAATTTCACTAATTTGAAAACCACTTACAATTAGATTTTCCTACTGTTGGGAGATTCTGTTTATGAGGGGGAACTACCCAGGGTAAAGCATAAGCGTTTTTAGTGGTCAGAGAATTTTTAAGGTTACTTTTCATGGGGGAGAAGAAGTCTTGATTGAGATGTTGGTGTATTTTACTGTCTAATGCACTGTATTTTACTGAGAATTCTTGCACCTGACCTCTGGCCCTGTTGATTTATGCTGCTTGGAACATTATTCCCTGAGCAGAGTCCAGGCCACACAGAGGCTGGATTACAGAATCCTGACTTTACACCCCCAAAATCTGATTCAGTGTCTCATCCTATATCACCTCTTCTGAGTCCTGCTTTCCATTCCCACAAGGGTGGTTAAGAAGTGTCCACGTAACCCTGGGATGGCCATGACTGATAGTACCAGTCATGGGGACAAGTTGCCTTCTTTAGATGCTCAGTTTGGAGGTAGATGCTGGGGTCATGGGGGCCTAAAAGAGTGAATAAGCGTGTGCGCGGCCTGGGTTCCATCCTCAGTACCACATATAAACAAAGATGTTGTGTCCGCCGAAAACTAAAATATAAATAAATATTTAAAATTCTCTCTCTCTCTCACACACACACAAACTCAAAAAAAAAAAAAAAAAGAGTGAATAAGCCCCCTGCCCCAGGTCAGTTCTTGCTCTTAGACTCCCAAAGGCCCTCTCTATAGGTTGGAGAAGGAGCATGGAGTCATAGAAACTTCAGAATTGGCCTTGGAGAGAGAGAAATAGACTCTCTGGTCCATATCCTCTACTACAAAATAGGAGACAGTGCCAGCCCCCAGGGGCTGTGGGAAGCACCAGCCAAGGTATGGGAGTTGGGTTTGTACTGGGAAGTGCAAGGTGGTTTCCTCTTCATAGTTTCTCTCCCTTGCTGCTAGATTTTGTACCAGCTGAGTCCTGGGGCCTTAGGGGTGAACCTGGTGGTGGAGGAACTGGCCACTGAAGCCAAGCTCGTGATAAAGCAGGTAAGAAGCAGAGCCCAGTGAACCAGGAAGAGCACATCATCCCTCAGAGGAGGCTTCCAGGACCCCTGTTGGCAGCAGGCAGCAATCCTAGCTGGAGTAGATGTGGGGGGTGGCATGAGGCTCCCCAGACTTGGAACCGCTGCCCCCTACTTTGACAGGAAAGAAATGCTGATTTTTACTCCACCACCTACATCTACCATTCACTCATCCATACTGGGTGCCAGGCATCAATCCACTGAATATCCCTGATCCTGTCAAACAGGAACCGTGACCCCATTTTACAGAGATTGGCTTGGGGCCATCCCATTCTAATCAGATCACACAGGATCCATGAGGATTTGACTTCTGTGGGCACAGTGCTACTCTTTACAGTTTGCCAGTCTTACCAAAAGGGAACCAGACCCAGAGGGCAGGGACTAGTCCAGGGTCACACAAGGCTAAGGACAGGACCTGGAATCTCTTCACCAGGGCTAAGGCAGCAGGGTGGAGGTGCATTCCTTCCTATGCTCAACAGAAGGTCCATCCAGGGGAAGAGAGCTGCTATAAGAGTGGCTGGCACACCCTTCTCTCTCAAGTGGGGACAGGTACACAGGGGGAGCAGGAACTAACCTTGTAGATAAAGGAACCTCATTAGCAGCCGCAGATCCGCGAGGCCTGTGTCTATGCAGCCCAGCAAGCAGCCTCATCCCTAGGTAGCTGGTCCTGGAGTCCTTGTCCACCTCCTGTTCTGTGGCTGGCTGGCCCAGGGGTCAGCCCTCTCATCTCACAGATCAATGAGCCAGGAGACCTTTTTAAAAGCTCAGCCAGTGGGCTAGGGTTGTGGCTCAGGGGTAGAGCACTTGCCTAGCGTGCATCATGCCTGGGTTCTGCCCCCAGTACTGCAAATCAATCTATAAATAATTAGCAAATAAGGCATTTTTTCCATATATATATATATGGGAGGGAGTGTGTGTGTTCCTCTAGTCTTTTTCCTAAGCATTTATAAACTTTGTTTTTATAAGAGTGGTATATTGCTGAAGCTGATGGCATCCTTTGTCCACCTAATAGATTGCGGAAACTGCCCCATTTCAGCACCACAGCTTCCTCCTCTCCTGATCTGGTGGCCGTGTGGCCGCTTCTCTTGCTTGATGTGCTGTGGTTGACCCGACTGTCACGTCATGTGGGTCGAGTGGTCTGCCCATTCTCAGTTCCTCACTGGTATAAATAGGTCTGATGGACATCCTCACAAATATATTTTTCTTGAGCATCGTGGTTTCCTCAGGGAAGAGCTCTAGGAGAGGGGTTTCTGGGCCTTTTCAAGGCTTTCAGAGTATTTTGGCTGACCCTATCCTACTCATGATGGCAATGGTGGCCATGATAATCACCGTGCATATGGTGGGGTGATGGGGTGGTCATGGCAGTGATGACAGTGATGTATGGGGGTGGGCTGGGATAGTGGGGTGGTAGTGACAGTGATGGCAGTGGTGATAATGATGGTGGAGGTTTTAGTGAAACTGATAGTGGGGGTGGCAGTGGGATGATGGGGGGGGTCATGGTGTCAGGGGTGATGGCAGAGGTGGGGATAGGGTAATGGGGGTGGTGATGATGGGCAGGTCACAGGGTTGGGGATGGGGATGGCAGTGGAGGTGGTAGAGGAGGGGTTGATGAGGATGGCAGTAGTGATGAGAGTGAGGCGGTAGTGAGGGTGATGGTAATTGAAGAGGCTCACTGACCCGGTGTCTCTGTGTCCCTCCAGGTGGAATGCCTTGATGAGCATCATACCAATGAGGCCCTGGAGGAGGTGACTCTCTGGACAATGTTCTCTCTAGAGGAACAGGATGCAGCATACTTATAGAGACTGTTCTGCACCCCCTTGTTGAGTGACAGGGTGAAGGGAAGTCATAATTAGTTCTTGGCCAGGTCCTAAAGGGAGTCCATAACCCAAACACCCACTTCTAAATGCAGGAACTGCCCATTTAGAACACATCTTCCCAAAGGAGATGAAGCTTAACTGTTGGCTCAGTCCCTAGGCTAATCCACCAATAACCATCTCTCAAAAAAGATGATTTTGTTTAGGGCTGAGGTGTAGTTCAGTCCAGAGTGCTTGACTGGCAAGGCCCTGGGTTCATCCCCAGCACTGCAAAAGAGAAACTTTTTTTTCCTTCAACTATGAAAGTATTAGTTACAGTGCAAATTTTGGGAAATGCAGAATTATTTAATAATGAAAATGTAATTCTGCCATCTTAATTCTACCATCTGGAATGGACCAGTGGCAGCAGCCTGATTTACAATAATGGCAATTTATCAAATGGATAAATAGAGGCTGTGAGTAGCTTTTCTTTGCCTTTCTAGAATTTTATACGGGGTGAAATGTATCTTCTCCCTTATGGTCACTGTTTGGTCCTCTTTCTGGAATTGCCCACCCTGTGCCTTGCTGGCTAGGCACCTCTTGGGTCCACAGTGTGACTGAAGCACAGGTGGGCCTGGGCATGTTCTGATGTGGGGAACACTTACACTGCCGACAAGCAAGCTGCTCACGCCTGGCCAGCATCTGAGCAGTTACCCATCAGCCCATATTCTCCAGGTTAATTGTTCCTGATGCCCACCTTGGTTTGTTTTCAAAGCACTCTGCTGGGTCAAGGGAACTTCAGGTGGGCTCACCTGCCCCAGCCAGCCCCAAAGGTGACATATCCTGCACACCATCACTTGACCTGCATCACCTCCCCGTGAGGCAGGTTCCATGGGAACCACCATTTTAATTTTCAGTTTTATTTTTTGCAGAGCTGGGAAGGGAATTCAGGGCCGTGTACACGCTAAACAAGAACTCTGCCACTGAGCCACACCCCAGCCCACTGCTGTTTTCAGATGAGCACATGAGGCTCAGAGATGCTGACGGTCTGTCTCGGTCACACAGCACAGCAGGGCATGCTGGGACTGGCCTCATACCAGACCTTCCGGCAGTTAGCCATAAGGCTGCACTGCCTCCCTGCCCTGGCTCCCCTGCCTTGCCAGAGCCAGCAGCTTGCGTTTCTGTTGGGATATATGACAGAGGAGCACCAGCTGCACACTGTGCTTCCCTGACCACGGTTTCCTCCCTCTCGTCCCCATAGCTCAGGCCTCTGCTAAAGCTTCAGCACGCCCACATCTCCCTGTACCAGGAGCTGTTCATCACGTGGAACAGTGAGGTGGGTCAGGTGGCACCTGCGGCTGGGCTGCAGCACCAAGCCCACTGAGCGTACCCTGCCCACAAGGCGCTGCCGGACTGAGTGTGGCAGCCCCCACTCAACAGCTATGGGGGTGGGAACCACCCGGGGGCTTACTGTGCACAATTCCAGGTGAGCCCTCAAGGGCCTCCTCCGAGGAGGGCTGCCAACGAGTGCCACATTCCTTTAGGCTTCCTGGCTCACATGTGGCAAGCAGGGAACCCAGCCTGGTGGCCCCACTCCAGCTCCCCACCTGCAGCCCCAGCCGAGCAAGTCTGCATGGCTGACAGGAGCCTGCATTCCAGGGGGAAGAGGCTGGTTCTAGGGAGCTGCTACTCTGCCTCCCACTGCCATTTGCCACCCAGTTATCTCGGCCCCCAGGCCCCTCACTCCCACAGCTCCTGCACAGTTTACTAACTGGCTCCATGTCTGCTCACATCCTGGGAGATCCACAGGGCTGGAAGTACTGTCCTCATTTTCCTAATGGGGCTCAGAGAGGTCATGGAGCTCCCCAAAGCCAGACAGCTAGTAAAGAGTTGAGTGGGGTTCAAATCCAGGTTTCCTGCCCATGCCCTGGGTCCCTTCAGGTATGACTTCTATCGCTTCAAAGAGCTGGAGCTTTCCAGAAACCAGGCTGGCAGGCCTTGGCCACCTCTCCACATATCCATGTCAGTGTCCCACTGGACCAGGGGGTCCTACCCAGCAGCCAGGCCCGGGGAAGCCAGGGGAAAGGCCCCCCTGCATGCTCCCACACATATTGTGAAGTACTCCCTGACGCTGTCAGGGAATGGGGCAAAAAAGCCAAGAAGACAGGTCACTATGGAGGGAGCAAGACAGGCTCCTCAGAGGAAGTGCATCTCAGCTGACACCCAGGGAAGCCGCCACCTGTGAAGAGTGAGGGCAATCCCAGCAGAGGGGTCCCCACTTCCAGTGGCTGCAGCTGTCGGGAAAGGCCAAGCAACTGGGAGCAGATAGAACCTGAGGTGGCGGTGCCTGGGAATGGGGAGACAAGAGGCAGGGCCTCCAGCCAGCAGTGTGACCAAAGCAGTGACGCCACAGAGTATCTGGGCCTTGTGTCCCCGCAGGTCTCCTCTCTGTCCCTCTGTCTGGTGATGGAGTACAGCCAGGGTAGCCTCCAGATGGTCATTCAGAGTAAGAGGGAAGAGAAGGCAGTCATGGATCCAAAGGTAACACAGACCCAGCCCGGGGCCTGCGGCCCCATGGGGCAGCCTAGGCAGAGGGGAGGGTAGTTGCCCAGTGTGTGAGGGGTGCGTTAAGTCCACCTCAAGTCCACATCTTTTTTTTTTTTTTAGAGAGAGAGAATTTTTAATATTCATTTTTTAGTTTTTGGCGGACACAACATCTTTGTTGGTATGTGGTGCTGAGGATCGAACCCGGGCCGCACGCATGCCAGGCGAGCGCGTTACCACTTGAGCCACATCCCCAGCCCCTCAAGTCCACATCTTGACACTTTACACACACCTGCCTCTAGCCTCCAGAGGAGGCCAGAGCTGATCCCAAAACCAGAGGTCCACAGCCACCACCTGCCTCCAGAGACTGTCATCATGCAACTCCTGAAGTTCACTCCAAAGGGCTTGGCTGGGGAGCCAACCTTGCTCATCCCTCCTCCTCTGGCCTACCAGATCCCTCTGCGCCCTCTGGTGCTCCTCTGGTCACCTTTGAGGCAGTGATGGGCCTTTGGTGGCTTCTGGCTTGGGCCATTTTAAGTCAGGCTGCTGTGGAGGAGTGGAATTGTCTGAAAAGCTGGCGTGGGCCTGGGAGGGTGGTGCAGGTGGTTCCCAGGGCGAGGCTGCTCTACTGCACCGCGAGGTTCCAGTCGGCTTGGGTTGCTGTGGAGGGTGGGAGTAAGTTTCCATTATGTCTGGCCTGGCATTGGCCTGCAGAGTGATTGTGGTGAGGACAGTCTGGGCATGGAATCTCTTCAAGTACTTTTGCTCATTTCAACACTTACAGGGTCTTTTTCCTAATGATTTGTAGTTTGTTTATTTTTTAATCTGGACAGGGTATCCAGAGATCTCCTCCCAGTCTATGGCTTGCCAGTTCCCCTTCTTAGCAGTGTCTTGTGGCCAGCAAAGGTCCTCATCAAAATGAAGTCAGGTGCATCAGTGTCATCCCTTCTGGCCAGTGTCTCTTGAGCCCTGGCTTAGGGAGCCTTCCTCCCACCTCCTGTTTCCTTCTCGAAGCTTGGTCACTTTTCACTTTCACCTTTGGGTCTGGGCCAGCCTACATGCATTCTGCTTTCCTCAAAGTACTCCTCTGCTTGGTGCCATCTCTCCACGGGGCTCAGGGGTACCCAGCTCCTCTGGTGAACTGGCCTCCGAGGCAGACTCCACGGTGGCTTTGTACATGTGTGCAGTGGGGCCCTTTGGAACATAGATGTTGCCGCTCTACCAGGGCTGGGAGGAAGCTAGGGCCCTGCAGTCCAGCCCCTGACACCCTGGGGTGGCCTAAGGCACCAGTATGGAAGCCAGAGGTCCTAAGAACACAGTTTGAAAAATCACTGCCCTGGACACTAGATGCAGCTTGTTTCTTACACAGAATACTTCCAGAATGTTCTCTTTCAGGGCTCTTTTCACTCTAATGGAACATGAAGGGGCAAGGCCCAAGCAGGCATTGCAGGCTTTAACATGTCAGATACCCACAAGGGCCGCATGCCAAGAGCTCGAGCAGGTGTGGGGCAACGGGCCACAGGTGGCTGCTGGAGGCAGGGAGTAGGGTCAAAGTCCCTGGGCACTGGGGTATGCAGTGTGCCCCTGTCCTGCTGTCTGCTGAGCTGGCGCCTGCCTAACAGTAGTGCATGGAATCCCACTCAGGAAGTTCCAGGCCCCTCCCCTTGCTGGCATCTCTTGCTTTTTCCCCAGTGGATGCAGGAGATCCTGGGTCAGATGTTGGACGCTCTGGAGTACCTGCACCAGCTGAGCATCATCCACAGGTGACAATCCTCTTCCTAGGGGTATCCAGCTGCACGGGTACCAGCACCCTTGGGCAAGATCTGGGCCCGGTAGGATGGCACCTTCCCTGGCTGAGGGAGGGGAGCAGGGCCCTTCCCTGCTGCCTTGAGTGACTCACCCCACAGTGCACAGCTGCATGATATGCCATGGCCTGGGCAGGGTGGCTCTAAAGTGCAACAGAAGAAGCAGATAAGACACCTGGAGGACGGGTGAGGCTGCCTGTCATGGCGTAGCCTCTGGATGGCCAGCATGGGCTGCTGCACCATAGGTCCAGCCTTCAAGCTGCCAGTGGTACCGGCTTCAAGCTCCAAGGTCCCTGTGGGAAGGGCTGGGGAGAGAAGCACATGGGCTGTGTGTATGAAGGGAATGGGAGTGAGGCCTCACGGTAGGTCTTACAGAATGGCGGACAATCAGTTCTCAGACTAGTGGGAGCCAGGACCTGTTGGAAGGGACACCAGGTTAACTAGGGCCTCCATAGCTGGGTGTGCCCCTTGTACTTGGGCTTTCCCCCAATTTAAAACAACTGATAAGATCTTATGTGAATGAGAAATAATCATTTGCCAAGCAGGAGGAGAAGGAATTTTCTGGTGGGGGGGTGGGACACTCAGGCTCAGGGCAGGTGCTGTCCTAGGGGAAGGTCCCCTGGCAGCCCATAAGCGCCAGACCCCCATCTCTTGATCACAGGAATCTCAAGCCTTCTAACATCAGCCTGGTCAGTAAAAACCACTGCAAACTCCAGGACCTGAGCTGCAACGCACTGATGACCCACAGAGCCAAGTGGAATGTCCGTGCAGAGGAAGGTGGTTGGGGTCCTCCCAGGAGGCAGGAGAGGGTGGCTGGAGACAGGCAAGGATGGGCAGCGAGAAAGGCAGTGCTGAGCTCGTTGCTTAGAAGGTCTCCACAGAGCTCCCTTTGGCTGGTTGTGCCTGAGCAAGAGTCCCTCATGGAGAACAGACACAGGGTCAAAAGACAGGGCCATTGGAGAAAAGAGCCCCAAGGAAAGAGCAGTCACCTGGGTACCCCTGAAAACGTAAACCTCGTGGGGGAGAAAGCCCCCAGAGGAAGGAGATTAGAATGGGGAATGGGGAGGACCTGCTGACTCAAGTACTGTCCTCAGATGGCCCAGGAGATAGTGGAGGGCTGTAGGGAGCAAGTTCTCTTCCTTCAAAAGGGGAACAGTGTGAAGGGAGACAGGCCTCAAGCCTGTAACATCATGTGCAGAACCCAAGTCCTGGGTGGCAGTGATTGGTGGCACTCTGCCCTTGAATTGGGTCGATGGATGATGGACGGATGATGGAGGTGAGCCTGTGGAGGGGTGAACTGGTGGGAGGTGACCCTGGCGTGGGTTTTAGAGTCCAGACCTTTGTTGTGTGGCTGAGAAATGGGGTGCAGAGAAGAAAGGGCTGCTTGAGGCCAACAAACCAGCCTGAGGACCCTGCTCTTTTGTCTCCTCTGGGGTTCAGGTTGAGAACCTAGGGCAGGGCCACTGGGACTCTGCCCCAGGGTCCTGATGTGTGGAGGGAAGGATGTTGAAAGAGGTATACATCCTAGCCGCTTGGCATATACTTGGCAGCTCCTTCTACAGCGGTTGTGGGCACAGACATGCCCACAGATGGGCCAGCCTGCCAGACACCTGTCAGTATGGATGGCTTCCTGTCAGTATGGATGGCTTCCCTGGCTCAAGGTCACGGTGAAGGTCTAACTGAGCAAGGAGGGACCCCTCACTGCCCACACCTATACTTCTTGCTTCACCCAAGAAGGGCCACTGAAGGACTCATATTTCTAGCTGCTTGCAATGGAAACCAAAAAGGAGACAGTGTTGGGCAGGGTGGCTCTGCTCTTCTGCCCCTTCAGGGGACATAGGACTCAATGGATCCCTGCCTTGTTCCTGCCAACAGACCCCTTTCAAAAGTCCTGGATGGCCCCCGAAGCCCTGGACTTCACCTTCAGCCAGATGTCTGACGTCTGGTCCCTGGGCTGCATCATGCTGGACATGGCCAGCTGCTCCTTCCTGAATGTAAGCTGCCTTCCAGGGAGAGGCGGGCCCTCGCCCTGCTTCCCGTCAGCACCCACACTCTGCTCGACGCAGGCACAGGGAGCCCTTGAGAGGAGACAGGCAGCAGGGTTCGTGCTCACTTGGTGGCTGTGAGTCCTCAGCCCTGCCCCTGTCAGCAAGGAAACCCTGGTCCAGGCACCCTAGAGTCGGGGGTGCCTGTGGCTGCAGCTCAGGAGACTGGGCAGGAACACTTGGGGCTGTGTGTCACACAAGCCTGCACGTGCATGGCGCTTCTCTGTTCTGCATGTCCTAGCGTGTGGCTCCTGCTCTCATCTGTGCTAGGCCTGCCTGCGGACAGGAAGGAGGGGAAAGGCAAGGGCCAGGGCACCTCGTATGGCCCCTTGGCCACCCTGACTTAGGGAGGCTGGGGAGCTGAGCCTTGCCACATCGTATGTACACACTGAAGAGAAGTCCAGTGTCTGCTGCACCCTGAGAGCAAGGACACACCACTGGCCACCTGGGTCCATCACCAGTCACAGGGAATCCAGAGAGCACAGGTGGCTGGCTGGGCCTCAGCATCCCCACTATCTCCCAGGTGGCCCAGTTCAGCTGCTCCCTTCCTACAGGGACTCCAGGGGAGTGAGGGACCTCCTGCTCCAGGCTGTGTGCTGTGTTGAAGGGTCTGGGCTCCAGTGCTTCCCTGGCACTGGGTGATCTTGGGCACTTGCTTCTGTTAATGGGCACGAAGAGTATTTTGTCATCTGGGTCCAGATAAGGGCCTCTGGGCAGAAATGGACAAGGCACATGGTCCCCTGCCTGCCTCTCCACTCAATGAGATGGCCCTCTTGCTTCTCTGAACCTCTGTTTCTTCTTCATAGAGGAGCTCCAAGGCTCCTGTGGCCTGACTCTGGCTTTCACTTAGTTGCAGAAACTCTGTGTCCTCTCTTCTGGTAGGCTACAGAAGCCATGCACCTACGGAAGTCCCTCCGCCAGAACTCTGGCAGCCTGAAAGCCATCCTGAAGACCATGGAGGAGAAACACATCCCAGATGTAGAAACCTTCTCTGACCTCCTGCCCTTAATGTTGCAGATCAACCCCTTGGATCGAATAACAATCAAGTGAGCTCAGGGTTGGGTTTTATTTCAACCTAGCAGGCTTGTTCAGCATCTCTCTACCCGACACAGACATGGCTGCTGGCTCCACCCTATTTCCCCCTGCATAACTTGGGTTTTTCCCAGCATTGTGGCTGTCCCAAACTGCTTGGCAGCCAGCCACCTGGACTGCACATCTCTGCACACTGGCACAGTGGGCCCGGCTCCAGCAGGCACAGGTGGTTCAGCCCCAGGGTATTTCTCAGGCTCCAGGAAAAAAAAATGTCCATTCTAATTCAAAATCAGAAGGAAAAGGTGAACCCTGCATGGGTTGTATTGACCTCTTAACCAGCACAGTCATCAAATCTGATGCTATGTCTCTGTGAAGGGGCCCAGAAGGCAAAAGCACAAGGATCAGGACTCCTCTGGGGCCCTGAGCCTTTGCAGGGAAGGTCCTTGGAAGTGGGATTGCCAGGGCACTGGCTGGACACATAGCACATCAGGAGAGATTTGGCCAAGCAGATCTGAAAGGGAAGGCCAGTGTCCAGGGCTCATCCAATGACAAGAAGCCTTCAGCCCAAGGCAGAGGGGCAGTGCATGGGACACCATGGGGGAGGCAGCTGGTGCAGCTGGCTCTCCCTGCTCCTCTGCCAGGGCTGTGGTTCATATGACCTTTGTGAGTGGCTCATTCAAGTCCTCATGTGTGGCCGTGACCCTGCACCAGCAGGTGGTGCCCGAGATCATCACCAGCATACTGTTAGAAGGCAACGTCACCAGCATCTTAGGTGATGGTGGGGACATGGGGTGTGTTGGGAGCTGTCCTTGGCCTTGGCAGCCCATTGTTTGGCTGGTGCCTCCTCACTACCCAGTCCAGTAGGCCCCCTCCTCATTCATGGCCAGGGTGCAGGAACATTCCAGGCTGTTCACCTCCACTCCATCCCAAGACTGCCCTGCTTAAATACCCTCCATAGCCCCCGTCACCTACAGCACAAAGTCCATTTCCTCAGTCTGGCCCCATGTACCTACCATCATTCGCTACACAAATCCTCTACAAGGCTACCCGGGCTCCTTGCTGCCCATCCCCCTAGAGCCCCTGCCTTTGTGGGTCCATACCCAGAGTGGTCCCTGGGTATCCCCACTTAGCCAGTGTGCATCCTGCGAGCCAGGGTGAGGGCAGCACACACTGAGACTCGGGATGGTTCCCAGAGACTTGGCTCGATTCTGGATCAACCACTTGGTCCTAGTGGCCTCATCTGTGAAGTAGGGATAAGAATGCTACCTTATGGCCAGAAGACCTGGTCCCCAGCAGGGTCCCCATGTCCTCCCTATTCCCTACAGAGGCCATGGAGAACTTCCCCAGCCGTCCTGAAGTTCAGCTCAAGGCCATGAAGAGGCTTTTGCAGATACCTGAGGACCAGCTAGGTACAGCCCTGCCTCTCCCCTCGCCGGCTGCCAGCAGTGCTGTTTACACCTTGGAGGCCTGTTCACGTTCCCAGGGGGGTCCTGTGCCTCATTATCTGCCTGGACAGGAAGCAGTCTGGAATTCTTCCCATGCCTCTCCTGCCAGGCAGAGAAGGGTGGGGATGGGTGGCCTCACCTGATTTTTAAAGGGTTCATAATAAGGTACCCATCTCTCCAGCCACCCTATTATGGGCATTGGAGTTTTCTTAGATCCCACTCCATGAACGGCACCCAACAGACCACTGCCTATGCACATGTGCCCCCAAGAGCTCCTATAGGGTGAGCTCTGGTGTCAGGGTGAGTCCTAGTGATGGCCAACCACGGACACACTGACATTCTGCCTGTTGTGTACCAGAGAACACAACACCCCTGTATCCATGATTTTGTAGTTTTTGCTGAAACATGCTTTTATAGAATCTCTCCGCCTAATCTCTCTCCTGCTTGAATATGACACGCCCATGCATCCCCCTTTCATCCAGCCATTCATCCATCTTCCCTCCACCCACCTGTCCATTGTCCATCTGTCCATTCTCCTTCCGTCCTCCTCTCCCTCTGTCCACTTCACACCCACCTCTCCATCCATCCACCTTATATCCCACAAGACATATACTAAGACTCCTCTGAGGAGTGTCCCAGTGGCTGAGGCTTTGGGGATTATGGAGGCAAACTGTGGCCTCCTAGCAAGGCAGTAGGCAACTCATATTGGCCATTGCCCCCAAAGCCGGATCCCATGTGCTGCTAAGCTATAACCAGGATAAAGCTCAGAGGGAGATTTTGCCTTCCTGTAAAATGGAGACAGTTGGGCCCTTTACCCAAGATTGGGCTCTTCCCACCACCTAGAGCCATGCCTGCCTCAGTGAGCTTCTGGAAGGGTCCACCATGGCTTCGTGTCCTGGGTGCCCCATCTGTCCTTGCACCCTCACCAAAGTCACCTATGCTCTTCTGACAAGGAAAGGGCTGGGAGGGCCTCGTGGTGCCAGAAGTACAAGATAGCATGCCCCTGCGGTGCTGGCGTTTGGAGGCTGAGGCAGGAGGATCTATTGAACCCAGAAGTTTGATACCAGCCTGGGTATCATACTGAGACTCCACCTCAAACAAAACAAAACAAAACAAAAAAACACTGAGAGGGTGAAGCTCTGAGGTGGAGACAGGATGCAGCATGCACGCCTGGGCTTGGTTCCCAGCAGGGTCCCCTGGCAGGCCTTGAGCACTCCATGCACATGTGGACAGATCATCTTTGCTCTCCTCTTCACCTACCTGGGGCCCCTCTGATGTGTTGTAGAATCCCAGTGGTCTCTGGGTCTCAGGTCTACTCCCACATGCCTCACCTGTGCCTCCTACCTCACCAGGGCTGCCGTGGCCCATGGGGCTGGTGGAGGTGGTGGTCACCGCTATGAAGCTGCATGAGAGGATCCTCGACCTGCAGCTTTGTGCCTGCTCCCTGCTACTGCGCATCCTGAGCCATGGTGGGTGCAGGGCAGGCTGGGGACACTCCTGGTGCTTCCAGCCCACACCAGTTACCCCTGGGTGTGTGGCCCTCTCAACAGCTCAAACCCTTGGGCAGCAGGTCAGTGCCGTCCCCTGCTGCCCATGCCGCCACCTCTGCTGCCCTCTTAGAAGCCTCTCCTGGAGGCACAACCCACCCTCCTGGGGAAGTTCAGAGGACCCCATCCTGTCATCTGACCCCTTGCTCATCTGACCCCTTCCTGGGACAACAGGCCACAGGCCAGGAGTCTGGAGATGTGGGCTACACTGTTGTGCCCCTGGGCAAGCACCTGTCCCTCTTGCTGCTTTCCCAGCTATGCAAGAAGGTGCTGGACAGGATGGGGTCCTCCCCCCAGCTCTCTGGATCATGAAGAACAGGTTCAACTGACTTCAGTTCTTACAACTACCTATCTACTTAAACTCTCTGGTTTAAATATTGAGGGTTTCACTCCCATGTGCCATTCATTCAGACTGTGTCCTTTTGTTTGCCTTTGTGGTGCTGGAAGCCAAGCCCTTGCTCATGGTGGCAAGCGTTCTTCCCCTGAACTGAGCCCCAGTCCTGAATTGTGTTGTTTACTCTGCCCCTTCGCCACAGACTCAGCAAGCTCTTGGAAGCCAGCACCAGCCTGAGGTGCCACAGACTGGCAGTGCAAGGGCCTTAGGTTTATGGACACCTGCTCCATGCTGGAGAACAAGGCAGACCTCAGTTTCCTTAAAAAAAAAAAAAAAAAAAAAAGCAGAAGTGCTGTCCCCAAGCCAGGCAGGGAGGATATGTGTGCCTTGCTGTCCCCTGCATCCTCAGCTGTGGGGTTAACCCAGGTTCCTTCTGTGGCCTGTGCAGTGCTGGTGCAGGATGCAGAAGCCCAGGTGCCATGGGATATCTCCATCATCTGCTCCCTGCTGAGCATCATGCGGAGCCACTCAGACTCGGAGCAACTCATCATCCAGGGCTACAGCCTGCTCACCATAATCTCTAGCCAGGGTGGGTGTGCCGGCCCTTCCTGCCTTGCCTCCTGCACACTCTAGGAAGCCAGGCTGCAGAGCACAAGCTGTGGAGGGCCAGCTTGGACACAGGCAGAGGTGGCACAGGGCCTGCTGCTGAGATAGCATGCCACATGGTTGGCAGATGCTCTGGTCCCATGCTGGTGGTTTTTCTGTACTCTGGAGGCCAGGCTCCATTTTCACAGGCAGACTACATGCCAGGTTTGGCCACAGGCCTTGCACGTATGCATTTCACATTCACATGCTCTGTGCCCATGGTCAGGGGGGCAGCAGGAAACCAGACTGTGCCCCAGTGGATGAGAGGTCCTCACCAGGCTCCCCTGGGACCAGGTAACACCCTTTCCTTCCTCCTAGCCCGCTCACAGGTGGGCATTGTCCTCCCAGGGGAAGCCAGAGCTCCTGAGAGCCCAAGGACACCTGTCAGGTCCTATGGTGGGGCAGAGCTGAGACCCAGTATGAGCCCACCACTCCAGACCTGATGACCTGTCATCCTTCACTGATCCCAGGAATAGGCATCACACAATGACCAGGCAGGCTGTGTGCTGGGAAAGGCCACAGCTGATCTAGGAAGGCAGGCTGGGCTCTGGGCTGAGGAGTTACAGCCATGGGACTCAGCCTAGTCATAGGTGGGAGGTGCTGAGTGGCGGCCCAGGAAATGCACAGCACCTGGGAACCCAGGGCAGCAGTGCTCTGGGAAGGCCTGCTGGAAGGGCCTCCCTCTCTCCCACAGTGCAGGTCTCTGAGGAACTACAGAAGGCGGGGCTGTTTGAGCTCATCCTGGAGCACCTGCACAGATTCTCCAAGGACAGGGACATCTGCTTCAGTGCCTTGGGCCTGCTCTGGTCCCTCCTGGTGGATGGTGAGGCCCTCCTTCTCAGGCTCCCACTGCCTGACTCCCAGGAGACTCTGCCTTCTGTCTCTTGAACATGTGAGAGTGACCTTGGCCACTAAAGGGAGACTGGCAAGAAGAGTGGGAGGGGAGGGGAAGGAGCCCAGTGTGTCCTGTCCAGTGGGCAGACCCTGGCACCAGAGATCAGCCAGAGAGTTGGATGCCTTATCCTGATTTTCAATGCAGAATAGGGGCCCCTAGGCCTGCACTGCCCCCTCTCCAAGGCCTCACCTTGGTACTCCAGAGAACAGTGCTCCAAGCCATGGCAAGCTGGGGAAACCTGAGACCCCACTGTCCCCAAGGTGCCAGAGTCCCCTCCAGACTCATTGGCAAGGAGGCCCCCACCCTCCATCTGTCCTCTTACTTTCTGCCCTGCTTGGTGGGTGGGAGCAGCAGGTGGGGCGTGTATATAGTAGGCCCTCATGCACACACCCAATGCCTGGGTGTCCCCCACCCCTGTCTTGGATCCAGCTATCATTGTGAACAAAGACCCTGTGGTGAAGATCCCAGCCCTGGTCATCCAGGTGCTGGACACCCACCCCACAGATGCAGAAATAGCTGAGGCAGGCTGTGCGGTGTTCTGGCTGCTGTCCTTGCTGGGTGAGAAGCTCAGGCCCTTGAGAGTGAGTGGGGAGGGCAGCCCTGGACACAGGGCAACCAGGTCCCTGTCCTCTGCAGGCTGCATGAGTGAGTGGCAGTTTGAGAAGGTGGTGGAGCTGCTTTTGCAAAGCATCCGGCTGAGCCAGGAAAGAGTACTGCTGGTGAATAATGCCTACCGAGGGCTGGCCAGCCTTGCCAAGGTGTCAGGTGAGCCCAATGTTAGGGCAGAAATCAGTCCTGGTCAGTAATGTCTACAGCTGCCCACAACCAAAACAGGAGGAACAAAATGACTCAGTCACATCATTGAGGAGGTGCCACCAAGGCTGCACACAACAGGCAGCCTCTGCCTTTTGCTTCATTCTAGCCTGTTATCTCCCTTCCCTGTCCACCCGCTGTGGGTCCATGCAGGCTCTCAGAATACAGGTCTGTCTCCAATTCCTAAGCACAAACCCTGGCTCTTATTTAGTGCCAGGCCCCATGCTGAGACTGGCAGTTATCCCTCGCAGAGGGCACTTGGATCTGGCCAGTCACCAGAGGCGCATGGTGGTGCTGAGGCCTCTGCTCATGATCTTGACCTCTGTGTTGTGTGGCCTTCCTTAGAGCAGTAACTACGCCCTTGGGGAGGACTTCCGGCTCCTCACCTGGCTCTTCTGGCCATGCCAGTCTACTGGGCTGCCTAAGATGATGGGGCCTCCTAGAGGGAGTGGGGGGCTGTCTCCTCCTGTCCTGGAAACCCCATGCTCAGCCCCTCTGAGGTCCCACACCAACTCTAGCAGGGTGGGTGGGCCACCTGGATGGGGAGCAGAGCTGGTCAGACTCCTGTATGCCTCTCAGCTGGGGCCTGGAGGTACTGTGGCCTTTCCTCCTGGTCAGAGCAATGTCTGGGCCTCAGGTCCCACCAGCAGCCTACCACAGGTTAGCTGTCAATTCCTTCTAGGGACAGCTGGGGAGGTCAAGGCCCTGGGGGAAAAGGGGACATGGTCTCCACCAAGGGAGCAGGACCTGAGCCAGGCTGGGTGAGTTGCAGCCCCACCACCTGGCCTGGTGAAACTTGCACCAGCATATGCCTCTGGGCCTGCCTCCCTAAGGAAGGGAGTACATGGGCCAGCAGGAGCAGGGCTTTTGCTGTGGGTGCAAAGCTGCACTGTGGGAAAATGGAGCCAGCAGAGCCCAGAGCTTGGGACGGAGATGGGGCCCAATGTTGAGTTCTCCCAGCAACCCATGAAACCAGTATCGTTACTACCCATCTCTCAGGGGAACCTTGGGCTGAGGAACTGTCCCAAGACCAAATGCACAGTGCCAGCACTAGATTGGGAACCCTGTCACCTCCTCTTCCCCAGAGCTGGCAGCCTTCCGGGTGGTGATGCCACAGGATGGTGGCAGTGGCCTCACCCTCCTGCAGGAGACCTATCAGCTGTACAAGGATGACCCTGAGGTGGTGGAGAACCTCTGCATGCTGCTGGCCCACCTTTCCTCCTACAGTGAGGACCCCCTTGCCCTACCTGGGAGCAGTGGTCAGGGGGGAGGGAAGGAGCCCCACAGAGATGGCCCCAAACTTTCCACTCGCCTGGCACCCCTGCACAGGGCATAGCTACAGCCCAGGACAATGTATTAATTATGGAACCCAGGGTGGCACTCTGCCCATGCCCTAAGTGGCACTGGGACCCTGCCTTGCCCTCTGGCTGGGCTCTGGGTCTCAGTACCCTTTCTGTTCCACCAGAGGAAATCCTGCCAGAGCTGGAGTCCAGTGGCATCAGGGCTCTGGTCAGAGAGATCCAGGGGCGCTTCACCTCCAGCCTGGTGAGTGACAGGAGGGCCTTCAGCAAACTAGGCCAAGCCCCTACACCTGGGGACATGGGCTGGGCATGTTTACTTGGAGCAGGCTCTGAGTGCTGTGGGCAGACTTCAGTGACACTTCCCTGCCTATTACTCCATCTCTGGGACTGGGCCAGTCAACCCTGGGGGGAGGGGTGACCAGAGGGTTTCACAAATTGGTGGATTTCATCAGTTAATGGCTCCGACCCCAAACCCTCCAAGAGGAACCTGCCTATCCCTTCCAGGAGCTGGTCTCTTATGCAGAGAAAGTGTCCCTGAGTCTGGAGGCTGCACTGCACAGCTCCCAGGAAAGGAAGCTGCTTGGAGCTGCTGTCGGGGAGGAAGCAGCTGCTCCTAAGGTCCCCATTCTCCCGGAAGGCCGCCCCCACCTGCCCTGAAGCACCTGCCTTCCTGTCCTAGATGTAAGTGGGGAGGAGGACATTAGGGACCAGTATGCACGTCCCGCTATGCCCAGTAACTAATAAAGAGGCCCAAGGCTGGTTCCAGGTATGTCCGAGTCACTGCTGGTATAGAAGTGGCAGGTCATGGTGGTGCTTGGTAGCACAGTCTGCAGGACTTGAGGGTTCTAGCTGAGGGGAAGGAACTACCCTCCACAAGCTTCATTTGTTTATTGTCACATGGTGCTGGGGCAGGCCTGGCCCACGCAGGGGAGGTGAGTGCCCACCACTGAGCCAACCCAGCCCCACAAACTCCATGTGAGGTGAGCATCTGCCTCTGTGCCAGCAATGTCCTCTGTGGGTGCACACTGTCCACACAGCTATCAGACGGCCTGATGAAGCCCTGGGCTTGGTGCACTCCACTCCCGATCAGTTCCCAGAGAGATCCTCAGACCTGAGCCTGGCCTGAAGACCGCAGGCTGGCCCATAGGTGCTCACAGACTGGCCAGCTTGGCTGCCCAAGGTTGGCAGGGAGCTTCAGGAATAGAAACGTGTGTCCCGAGTCTCACATGACTGGCCATGGGGAGAAGCCTCTGCTGGTCTGCTGGATGCTGGCCAACTGAGGTAAACAGGTGAAAAACAGGACCCCACCTCCAGGAAGCCCTTCTCCATGTCCAACGGCCTCAGGCAAGTGCTGGTGGGGCAGCTGCTGTGCTACTCAGCTGCAGTTAGCAGCCACCTGCAGACAGGGTTTGAACTGGGGCCAGCAAAGCCTATATCCATCACCCACAACGATGGAGAGGCAGTGGCCTCCCCTGAGGAAGGAGCTGAGCACCCAGGGCAGTCAGGTCTTCAGGGACAGCCCAGACATCCCATTCTTCCTCTTCCCTCTGCAGAGGCCAGAGGGAGAAGGAAGCCCCATGGTTCTGGCTTTGAACACAATTCACCCCTGACTCCACTGGTCCCATGATCTGGTCTCCACTGACACTGGACGGAGGTGCTTGACAGGATGGAGGGTGGGGCGGCGGCAATAGGCAGCAGGCTAGGAGTTCTCATTGCAGCTGTCTGGGGCAGAGGCCGGGGGGTGCCTGTCTCCTGCAGTGTTCTCCCACTCCCTCTTCACCATGACGTAGAGCCTCATTGCTGCCTGGGCATCCTGGATCTGGAAGGAGCACTCATGCCAGTGGTGACTGTGTGACACACAGAGCCACCCACCATCAGTGAACCCCTCACCTACAACAATGGAGAGGCAGTGGCCTCCTCAGAGGAAGGAGCTGAGCACCCAGGCCAGTCAGGTCTTCAGGGGCAGCCCAGATGTCCCATCCTTCCTCTGGAGGTCAGCAGACAGTGGAACCACCAGCCACCCCCAACCTGCCACCCCCTCCTGGCTGTGCCTAGGACACACCCCTGACTTTCTGCCCTTGCACACCCTTGCTCATCCTGAGCCCTTCAGGCCAGCCCCTGTGCTGGGGATGTGCAGCCCAGTGAAGCACACACTTCGCAGGAGACCTCTGTAAGATGGGGAAAAAGACGTGGAGTGGTCACCCACCCACCACCCACCCTGTAGTTCTGTGAACTATCTACAGAAGAAAGGAAGCTCAGAGGGATGAAGGGGTGAGCACTGCCCTTTAAGGTTCAGCAGATCAGGGATACAGAGTAACAAACAGTGGGCTGGGGTCTCTGCCCTGCAGCATAAGAGCCCAGAGAGCTGCACGGCACACTGCAGGCAAGAGACCATCCTGGTCAGGAGGGCAGGGGGCCTGGGCCACTGACTATGGTTTGTTGGATGTACCTTGCCCCCAAGGTCCTCCATGAGGCAGCATGCAGGTAGCAGACCCGTGAGAGTGGGCCAGTGGGGTCACTGGGGAGAGACCTTGGGAGGCCTGAAGCAGTTCTTGGGCCTCAGTTAACTGTTGTCAAAGTGTTGCTATAAAAAGATCCCCTCCAGGGCTGGGGCTGTAGCTCAATGGGAAAGCACTTGCCTTGCATGTATGAGACACTGGGTTCAATCCTCAGCACCTCTATTATAAAAATAAAGATATTCTATGTTCATCTATAGCTAAAAAAAAATAAATAAAAGACACTCCCACCCCCCTTTCCTGTACTGGATGTGACTCTCCCATAGGCTCCTGCCATTGCACTACATCTGCCATGAGATGAGGCCTTTGCCAGAGCTGATGACAGTGCCATGACCTTGAGCTCTAGAACCATGAGTTATTAACTCCTTTTCTTTATAAAATACCCAGCTTTGGGAATTCCATCTCAATAACAGAAAATGGATTAACACCACCTTTGATTTGATTGCTGAACTTTTTTCCAAGTGTTTACATTCAGTATTTTTTGAGTGTTAACTAGATATAAACGCTGAAGACTTAACACATCATAAGCATGCTTTGCTGTTTCATTTGTTTTAAATTAACAGCCTCCTAACGAAGCTGTCCAGGCCCCATCTCTCCTGTGTCTGCTGTCAAGTGACACGTGCTTGAGTTTCAAGATCAGAGACAGCTCCCAAACCCAAGGACTGTCACCTAGGGACACTTACCGAACAGTGCTCTGCCTGCTGGACCCTGATGCCCAGGATTTTCTCAGAAAGTAGTTTCAGAGATGGCCTTCCACTCTGCAAAGGGAAAGGAGAGAGCACAGTGTGGCTGCCTCTGTTCAGGAGGGTGCCTCCCCAGTAGGGAGGAGATGGCTACCGAGTCCACCCTTCACTGGGAGTGCCAGAGGCATTGAGGGCAGCAGTCACCAGCCAGGACAGGCTGGTGACCCCCCCCTCCTCGACCACACACAAGACAATCTTAAAGGCAATGCCAGGCTGGGGTGTGGCTCAGTGGCAGAGCACTTTCCTAGCATGTGAAGGTTCCATGGTTCCATCCCCAGCACTGGGGGAAGAAAGGGGCTAACATCTCTGTTTCCATCCTCGGCCCCTGCTGCCTCCAGAGGCACCATCTCTCCCTTGGCACCCTATAGGGCAGTGAGCACCTACCCGGGGACCTGCCTTGGGACGAGTGTGTGGAGGACTCGCCCCCTCACACTTGTTTTCAAGGTTGGCAATGAACAGATTCTACCTTTTCTTTGAGTGCTGGGGAAGGAACACAGGGCCTTGTACCTTAGGCAGGCTCCACCCTGACCACGTCCCCAGCCCCAGCTTGTTCTTTTTTTTGGAGGGTGGTATAGTGGATTGAACCCAGGTGTGCTTAATCACTGAAGTACACCCACAGCCCTTTTAATTTTTTATTTGGAGACAGGGTCTCACTAAGTTAGTTAGGGCTTCACTAAGTTGCTGAGGCTGACCTTGAACTTACTATTTTCCTGCCTCAGCCTCCTGAGCTGCTGGGATTACAGGCATGTACCTCCATGCCTGCCCTACTTTTTTTTTTTTTTGTAGTTGTAGATGGACAGAATGCCTTTATTTTGTTTATTTTTATGTGGTGCTGAGGATTGAACCAGTGTTTCACGCATGCTAGGCAAGCACTCTGCTGCTGAGCTACAGCCCCAGCCCCCTACTTGTTCTTTTTAAGAAACTTTTCAAAGGTTAAAAGTAAAAACAAACCTTAAATCTGTGAAATCATAAGTCTTAAAGGCTAGTTTTATTTTTCTTAATACAATTTGTAAATGTTTATCTGTGAACCACGTAAAATCATTAGAGGTATGTACATCTCACTTTGGGGAATATACAATAAAGATATAAAAACAGAAAGAAAAAAAAAAGTAAAAACAAAAAACATTTTAACTAGTAAGTCAGCTACCAGGGAGCAGAGTGAAAACATCTGACAGAAGCCACACTCATTTTAAGTACCTTTACTTGACTCTTGAAAGGTTTGTATTTCTGGGTGTCCCGGATTTTCTTTTTTGGATGATCAAGAAACAGCACCTAGAAGAAAACAGTGACAAGCAGTTTCAAGGTGTAGTAATGGAACCTCTTTTTCCTACCACCTTAACAAAATTCCTGAAATCAAGGAAGCAGAGGAGAGTCATTAGGAAACAGCATTTGAGCTGGTTCTACATACCAGGAAACTAAAAAGATTTCAATAGCTCATCCTGTGACTTCAGCCCAATTCCCTGAATCAGTGGCCCTCCCATCACCTGTGGCAGTCTCTGAAGGTGATTCCACACACAAGTGGGAAAATGACTTTTTTTTTGATGCTGGGGATGTTCAAGTACTCAACCACTGAGCTACATCACCAGCCCTTTTATTTATCTATTTATTTGCTTCTTCGTCTTTTAAAAATTTATTATTATTTTTTTTAGTTGTATATGGACACAATATCTTTATTTGTTTTTACGTGGTGCTGAGGATGGAACCCAGGGCCTCACATGTGCAAGGCAAGTGCTCTACCACTGAGCTACAACTCCAGCCCTATTTATTTGTTTCATGGGAAAAGGCCTCATTAAGTTGCTGGGGCTGGCCTCCAACTTGCAATCCCTTTAGCCTTCCAAGTCACTGGGATTAACAGGGTACGCCACTGCACCCAGGTCTTTGGTTAGCTCCCAACCGTTGAACATTTATTTTATTTTATTTTTTTTTACCATTTTGGTGCTGGGGATTGAACCCAGTCCTTGTATTGCTAAGCATGTGGTCTACCACTAATCTCTCTCTGAGCCCCAAACATTTAAGAGGAAACTTTACACCACCACCAAGGTTCCTGAAAAGCCTGAGGCTGCTAGATATCCATGGGACATTGATCAGCTGCAGCAACACACCCAGGAAGGATAATGTCCATTCTGTCTGCCCACAGGGTTCTAATCTGCAGGACCCTAAGGAACAGAGGCCGAGGCCACATGCCCTAAGGAACCACCTACTCCCACCAAGTTGGCCCCACACTGGCCACCTGGGAAGGAGGTGAATCCAGCTGGAATGACTGCCAGAGGAAGCCCTCTTCCCTTCCCTGCATATAGGGCAGCTGAAGAGGCAGCAGAAAGGGGCAGGGCACCTGGGTCTGCAACAGGTGTCACACCTGGGAATGTTCTCAAGCTCACTGAAGCTCAGCAGCACAAGCCTCCACTGTTCTGTAAAGGGTTAATTGAGACCCCCCCCCCTTAACAGAGTGTAGGGATGGCACAGGAGGCTTCTGCCTGGACCTCAGAACACTACACTAGAAGCCTGTGCTGGTGGCCATGGCAAGAGTCCATAGGCATCTCTCCTGCTGGCAGCCCAGGCTCTTACTTTCCCTTGGCTTCCGTTTCCTTTTTGGTACTGGGATTGAATCCAGGGGCGCTTAACCACAAAGCTGTATCCCCAACCCTTTTTATCTTTTGAGACAGGGTCTCGCTAAGTTGTTGAGGCTGGTTTTGAACTTGTGATCCTCCTGCCTGCCTCTCAAGCCCCTGGGAATAGAGGCATGTGCCATTGTACCCAGCTCCCTCTGCTTCCTTTGAACCATTCAAGCATTTGCTCACCAACTGAAAGTGACCCATGCCCTATGCCCAGCTGGGGTTTTCCCAGGATGCTGGGGAAAACACAAGGCCAGGCTCCTAGCATCAGAGATGCTCAGTACCCACCACAAAGTCAGATGAGGGCCAAGGGTTGTCTGCTGCATAAACAAGTTTCTGTGCAAGGGACCCTGGTCACAGGTGGACAACCAGTCATCAGGCCTTCCCCCAGCTCAGTCAGGTATCCCACGAAAGGTACCCTCTGTGTCCTGTGGCCAGAGCCCCCTTCTTTTCCTTAGGGAAGGATATCAGCCCCTCAGGCACTGGAGTCCCACTGTAGCTTGTGGTTCTCAAAACAAGTGCCACACACCTCCTGACATCCTGAGAACCAAATAAGCAGCATCCAAGTATTCCCAACGTGGGGTCATGGGACAAATTCAAAAATAACAAGTCCCATAACAATACTTCTAGAGACAGACATGAGAAGGTAAGTGCTGCACACACGAAAGAGAGTGGGCCCTATGTCCCCAGGAGGTCAGAACCCAGCACCTTTAAATCATTGTGAAGCGCGTGCCCCACCAGGATTCTGCCCTTGAGCATTTCTGCCACTTCCCTCTGCACAACCTCAAGCTCTTCTCCTGAAAATCAAAACAGAGAAGTGAGTTTTGGCAACATAAACCACAGCCAGGGGTGCTCAATGCTACCCCTGACCAGACCAAAGCTAACAGGCCAAGTCCCCAATGCCATGCAACTGAAAGCCTCAGAGGTTCTGGTGGGTCCAGGCTCTTGCTTTCCCTTGGCTTCCGTGGGGAAGCCATGAAGGACCTACGGGCATAGATGTCTTGGGCTTCCTCCCACTACCTGTTCCCATCTCAGCCCACAGGAGAGTTCATAAGCACCAAGACTCTCAGAGGCATCTGACAGTGCAGTCAGCTTCCTGCAGTAACCAACTATCAGGCTCAAGTGCTGTGGTTTTCCAGGTAGAAATAAAAGGAAGACTGTACCATGGACAGCAGAAGCTTTGCTGCCCTAGATCCGGGGCTCAGGAGGCAGCTCCATCTGCTCCCTCGTCGCAGGCACCCTTCAAGGACCACCTTACCCCCACTCCACCCAGGAGAGCCCTCTCCCACCCTTACCCCCAATCCCATCAGAAGTCTCACAGAACCATGCTTGCACCATCTGCCTGCCCAGTCCCAGCCAGAGCTGATCAAACCAGCTTCCCTCCAGGAACTGAAATCAGGAGATGCTGGTCAGTCTAGGGTTCTGAGTAGTGGCAGGGCCATCTTGATGGCCATATGCCTAGGAGAAGTAGACAGGCAGTGTGCAGAAAGGCCACATGGCCCAGGACCCTGATGATGACCACCAGGTTTCTTCAGGTAGCAAGTATTAGAGCCTCCCAGGTGATGCCCGCTATCACATCACATGCAGACTTGGCCTCTGCTGTATCCAGGGTTGGAGTGCTTCTGGTCACCTAACAGTCATCTCCCCTCTGCTCACCACCAGCTGATAACCCTTCCTATTTCTACCCGATTCTGAATGTCACCCATAGGAAGCCTATTAAAATAGAGGCTAGACCAGGCTTCTCACTGCCTTCCCAGGGCTTCCCAAAGGGACCCTGTGATCTGTCCCCGAGATCCTATCCCCAAAGTTCCCATTGGCCTCTTTCCTAATCCCCAACACACTATCTCAGTCCCCATTGCACACAGCACAAAGCAATTCTAGAACCACCCTGTTTTTTAATAGGTGGGGGGGGGGGACACCAAAGCAAAGGAAGAAAGGGCAGGGAAGCCACGGGAACACACTGTTCCTCCTGGGAGGCAACTACCCCTGGGCACAGCACACAGGATGCCGAGTGCCCTGAACAAACTAGGGCAGCAGGGGCAGAGAAGAGAACATAGGTGCTGCTCCCCAGAGCTCCTGCACTGTGGGTGCCATACCCTGCTTGAGCTTCTCGGGCCGAATCCCACTGACCGCTGTCCTGTAGTCTGTCACGGGCTCGGTGGGCTTCACGTACTTGTCATAAACGCACTTCCCATACTGGTTCACGAGGGACACGCGGGCCACGATGCTCTCCTCCCCCTTGGGGCCCACGCCCACCATCTCACAATCCAGGGCCAAGGCTCTTGTCAGGCTGAGGGAACCAGAGGCTCAAGTGTAATAGGCCCTGAAGCCCAGGATGCAGGCCAGACCCTGAGGGAGCCTGGGTGAGGCCCTGCATCAATGCTGCGCACCCGTGACATGCTGTGCCACACCAGTTCTCAGCAGGGTCCTGGGTGGTGCTTGCTCCATTCAACCAGAGGAAGGGACCCTCTGTCCTGAAGAGCTTACACCCCAGAAGTCTGGAAATCCCCAGCTGCCCCAGCCCCCAGCCACGCATACCCGTGGAAGGCCTGTTCCTTCACCAGGGTGGTGCTGCTCTCCCTCTGGCCCAGCTGCCTCCTTGCTATCCTGGCTGCCTCTGGGCCTATAGCAGCTTCGATATCTGCTGGATCAACATCATCAAACCAGATGTCTTCCCTAAAAGACAAAGACAAAAGCAGCTGACCACCAGAAAGGTCTGGCTGTTGGGGAGAGACTTGGGGTGCAGGTGGGCTCAAGTATGGTGGAGACTGTTCCTCCTACAAACACTGGCCTGGCTGTGCCTACTGTTTGAATCATTGTGACCTTTCCTTCCAACTCCTTTCTTTTATCTTTATTTTATTTACTTATATGTCGTGCTGAGGATTGAACTCAGGGCCTCATACATGCTAGGCAAGTGCTCTACCACTAAGCCATAACTCCAGCCCCACCTTTCTTTTAGTTAGCAAATATGCTCACTACTCAAGATTCACGAAGCAGAAAAACCCAAAGAACATCAAACAGAAACAGATAGTTCCCTGTCAGCAGGATGATGGCTGCCGTTTTCTTTTTAATTACACAAGTAACAGGCTCACCATCCAGTGACCAGGATACACAGACGGGCACCAGGGCAGAGTACACACAGACCCCCACCGTGGTCTGCTCGTGTGCCTGCCTACTGCACTCCAGTCCTCAGGGTCTGCTTCGACGCCATCCCTTAGAAAGGCTCCTCCTGACTCCACTGGATGCCCTTCCCTCTTGTTGTGTGCCTGTCTCCTTCTCCCTCACTTGGTCTACCTTGAGCATACTCGTTACTAAACGGCTTGTGTCCCCTGCTTACTATCAACCTCCAGAGGGAAAGACCTTGATGACAGCTCCACTGGAGGCAGCCTGCCTGGCACAGCACAGGAGGTGCCTACACGCCGCTTCCCTCTGACCTTCAGCACCCAGGCAACACCAAGTCAGCCTCTGGCTCACAAGCATGTCCCTTCCAGGTGATCACCACAGTGCTTACTGAGTGGTCACCAGCAATGAGCCAAACATGCTGTACCTAGGTCTCCTTGGACTCCACAGATGGCCACACAGAGGCAAGGGGATGCCAGGAGTCCATCTACACTGTCCTACTGGTAAGAAGCAGAAACGGGCCTTGCATACAGGTCTGCCTGGCTCCACGCTTGCTCACGCTACAGGGCTTTGTTGGTGCTCACTAAGCACAGAGCTCTGTGCTACACCCTGGAGACATGGTGGCGACCCTAAAACAAGCTCTGCCTTCATCACACCTACACTCTGGGGAAGAGGCAAGAAGCAGGCAAGCAGGAAACAAGCATCAGGCTATGGTGTTGGAGGCACCTGGCCAGTGGCCTCTGTTCCTAGGGAGACAGGCCTCAGCACCTCTGTCCTCAGTGGTGAGGACCGGGCCAGGCATGGTTGCAGAAAGGGGGCAGAAGACCTGCACCACCACAGCACAGGTGCCAGTACTTACTCAGTGGGCAGGGCTGGAGCTGAGGCCACGGCTGCTTCCTTAGCTTTCCGCTTCTTATGCTTGATGTTCCCTTGTTTCAAAGAAACGTCACCATTTGTCCTTTTCTTGGCTCCTTTCTTATGCTCTGCTCCCTTGGCCTCTGTGGGAGGTACTGGCACAATCCTTTCCCTCCTAGATCCAGAGGGAACAGAGCCCCTTGTGGCCTCCTGGTCTTTTTTTGTTGGCATCTCCTCTCCCTTGACTTTAGCTGAGGTCTCTTTTCTGTTCTGTTGGTTAAGGTGAGGCTGCTTTTTTGGATCCATCTGAGAGACAACAGGCTTTTCTGGGGTTTGTGATGTTTGCTTCAGCAGCTAATAGGACCCAAAATAAAATACAAGCCACATTTTAATTTGGAATGACATAGACCATGTTGAAAAACATGTATGCACATATGTATAAATGCACGTCCATCACATCTACACATATTGTGGTCAGCACCACTGATCTGGCTCTGAATAGTTTGGAAAATCCTTTTTCCATTCTTACCTAAGTCACTAGTGGAGAGATGCCTTTTTTTGCTTCTCTCATATAATGCATAATTTTACACCCACTTTTCTAGTCCTACAAAACTTCAAGCTAACATTCTATACTTTAAAAACCTGTTGAGCAACTAAACTTCACAGAGCACTTCACCGAGTGCCTGGGAAGAGGAGACAGGCAGCTTTTTTCACTTGAATAAATTTGGAATTGATTTTAGGGTTAATTCCCTTGTGACTCAGATCAACATTTCCCTCACACCATCTCTGGGCTTGCTACTGTTCAGGGCCTCAGGAAGACAGAGGGCCATGTTCAATGGAAAGAAAAGCTACTATCAAATGGGTGGCAGGAGGTGCTCCAAGGTCTTGGAGCCCAATTTCCTCTTTGTGCTCAAATCCCTTCTGGGCTGTTGTCCTCAGTTAAGACGCGTGGCAGCCAGTTGAGAGCGGATGAGGTAGGTTTCTACTTTATTATTTCTATAACAGTTAAAGACCAAATGATTTACTTCCTTGCAGAAATCACAGAAAAACCAGTTTTTTCCCTATAGTGAACAATCCTTCTATGCATTTGATTACTTTCCTGTAAGAAAGAGAACAAACCTGTACTTAGGAAATCATACAGAACCCTGGGGTTGCCCATGGGCCTGTAACAGGTTCTTAGTGTCAAAAGAGAAAAATGATTTGGAACATCCACATTAAGATACAAAGCAGAGTGTCTCGGTTCAAGAAGTTCTTTATCCTCTCCCTCTTGTTCACCAAGGCTCCATGAAATACAAGCCAGAAAACTGTTTGAAGGTTGGTCACAGTGAAGAGCACAAACTCAAGTAAGAATGTTGTAAATCTGGCTCTCAGCTCTGCCATTTACTAGCTGTGTGACCTCAGGCCAGGTCCCTTAAGCTCTGTGTGCCTCAATTTCCCCATGAGCAAAACAGGGACAGTAACAGCAGCTAATTCTAAGTGACTAAGGACTTGAAAGCGGAGCAGGGCAACCTCTACAGTCCTTCCGGGTCGGCCTGCTGGGTGAGGCCCTGTGCCCAGCAGCAATCCTGGGTCGTTTACTGCAGCTGTAAGGAGACAAGCCTCTCGGGTGTTAGCGGGGTAGGTAGGAACACAGCCCAGATCGTGTGGCAGGTGTCAGCATGTCTCAGGAGCTTAACAGCCTCGGCAGCTGTCATCAACGACCAGCTCCTTCAAAGCCCGAGTTGCGGAATCCTCTATACCTCGTGTCTGCCACCGGCACCGGCTAGCCACAGGGTCGCTCGGTCCCTCCCGATGGCCTCTCCTGCCAACGGCTCTCTCTGTAAGGATGTTTTTTGCGGCCACTCCGTTCTGCGCTCTGCGACGCCCCAACCAAAAGCCTTGGGGTGCTTGCATCGGCCCCCGCCCCGTCTCACCTCCCTCAGCGCCTTCCAGTTTTGAGAAAAGTCTTCGGGGGCCTTGGGAGGCCGCCCCACGGCCACTCTGGGGACGCTTCCCGGCGTGCTGCTTCCTTCTCGCGCTTTGCTCTTCCAGAACCTCTTCTTGCTTCTCTTCCGCGCGAGCTTCCCGACAGCACCCGGCTGAGCGGCGAGGATGCTCGCGGCACGCTCGGAGGCCAGGGCCTTCGCCTTCATCCCTGTGCGTCCCGCGCGCCGCAGCTGCACCTGCACCTACGCAGCTAGCTCCAGGCCACGGGGTGCAGGCCCCGCCCCGGAAGAGGACCCACGAACGACCCCGGAAGCGGCAGCACATGGCTGGCGGGCCTCCGCAGCGCGTTCCAGCGCCTGGAAGTGCTCTTCCCTTAGCGACTCGCTGAAAACCGGGTGTACGCCTGTGGTTCCGCACGGCCGGGAGCGGGGAGGGACCATTCTCTTGCCCGGAAATAGGGCCGGCGCCCTGGCGATCGGCGCTGGGGGTCAGCCACCCAGGGTCGGGTTAGGGTGAGCCTGGGGTCCCACTGAGATCTGGGGTGGAGTTGAGAAACGCGAACACCGGAAGGGATCGGGGGCCTCGCCCTCGCGCAGCACCCCGCCGGAGCGGCCGGAAGGGGGCGGGCGAGCGCTGCACAGGACGCGGGGAAGCCCGAACCGGTCCGCGCTCACAGGTCCCCTGCTCTGGGGCTGCGAGGCTGCCCGCAGGTTCTGATGTTCTTATCAGAGAGCGATGTCACCAGCACGCCAGCTCGGCTCCGGGGCTCGGGGGTGCCCCGCCGAGCTGTAGCCGCCCCCGAGGAGTCGGGTGGCGCTGCGAGGGTCCGGGCCCTGCCCCGGCGGTGCCGGAAGCCTGCCCTCTCCCCAACCCGAGCCAATCACCAGGACCCGGTTTCGAGGAAAAGGAAATTGTTTTGCCAGCAAAAGAGAACGGGACTCCTGGCCCAGAGGCTGTGGTTCTGCCGGTCACGGGAACGGGGTTAGAGGTGATTCCCAGGCTGCGTGGCCCGGTTCTCTGTTGGAGTTGGAAGTCACGTGTTCACTTGGGAGCCAGTAGTTTCTGAGAACTCCTGGGCGGTCCCCAGGTCTGAAGGGCTTCGTTCCTGTGGTGGGTTTGTACTCAAGAACTGGAAGTCTGCCTGGAATGGGGAAGAAGGGTGACCCCGCTCCCCCCACGCCCCGAGTTTGGGGAGCGGGGAGAAACACGTTCATTTAAAAAATAAGTCGCGGTGGCAGAGAGCAGGGGCTGTATTCAAAACATAAAGAGGACGCTGCTGTTTCGGATGCACCCCCAGAGGGAAGCAGCCCCAGCCCAGGAGTGGTGTCCCCACAGGGAGGTGGACCCCAACTTAGGCCATGCGGGTCCTTGACATTTTTCCAGAAAGGGATTTAAGAACAGGTCAAAGTGAGGCAATACATTGATTTTTATCTGGAGAAGGAAGCCATTCTCCATTTCAGATGGGGGGCCCTGAATTCAGTTTCATTCTCTACTAGGGATTGTTTTCTGATGTTTTTGATGAAAAATCTATACTGATTTCCCTTGGGGGGTGTTCATTGTTCTGCGTTGTGAATTTAAACAGTACTGCGTTGGTGTAACATTGAGAACTAATTGAGAGTATGACATGTGAATGAAGACATCAGATTCTTGTGGTATAAATCAGAAATATCTATTTACTGAGCAGTTTTCTTTCTCCTCTCTTTACTAATTGGCACATTATAATCATACATAATAATAGATTCATTGTGACATACTCATATTTGTATGTAACATAGGATCTGTTTTTCTTTAGGTCCAGGTCAGGAGAGAGGTTACTAAAGGACCTGTGGATAAGGATAAGGATTGCCAATCAATTTATTTATTTTTTAATATTTTATTAGTTATTGGTGGACCTTTATTTATTTGTTTATATGTGGTGCTGAGAATTGAACCCAGTACCTCATACGGGCGGGGCAAGCTCTGTAGCCCCAAATCCAGCCCCCGACAGTCAATTTAATAGTATTATTTGTGATCAAAGTATGTGGAAGGAGCACTTAAATCTGACCTTTTTAAAACATGGGCAGAAGAGAGGAGTGCATGGTACAGGGAGGGGCAGCTTACCTGGTGGTGACTGAACAGGAAAGAGAGAGAGGAAGGGACCCCAGGACCCCCATACTCCCTTCAGGGGCACACCTCCAGTGACCTAATTTCTCCCCACTAGACTCCACCTCCTAAGAGTTCCTCCACCTCCCAATATTGCCACAGGCTGGGAACCATACCTTTCGTATATCTGACTATAATGGGGAGCGGGAGGGGTGGGGAGCACAAAGAGTGTTTTGGAGCATGTTAAAGACCTTCCCAGGAGATGCATTGGGGTTGCTAGGTGGGTTTGCAAGGGTGAGTGCAGAGATGTGGGGCTATGTACCTGCTCTGTGACTCTCCCCATGGGGTATGGGTGCAGACTGGGCAGGTAGTTGTGAGGGCATAAGGGTGTAGATGTCCAAAAAAGAGTAACACAGGGAGGGCCACAGTCTTCTGGGTGAAGAGGACAGGTGCAAAGGAGGGAGTGTGGGAAGCGGGTGTGGGGTGGGGAGGCCAGCTGCCAGGGCAGAGCTCTGATGCCTTTTGTGCAGCCTCTGGTCAGCCAGGGTGGAGACCTCCAGGGAACTATCTAAGGCCTGGCATTCCAGGCAAGCCTCCGTCTCCAGTGCCCTGGATCAGAGCTCCCTCTTCTTCAGATTGGACTGTGGAGCCAGCCCCCTCCCAGGAGGCCAGGTGTGCATGGCTGGGGGGCTCTCCTGGTGCAGGTCCAGGTTGGGGTCTGTCCCAGACCAAGGCCAGGTTGCAGCAGGAGGAGCTGCCGACTGCCCATCCCACTGCCTTGTCTGGGAGGAAGCTCCCTAGAGTCCCGCCCAGCCTGCCCAGCCCACCACAAGAGCTTGACATTCCATCCTGACCAGATTCTGTGTCACCAGGGCCCCTCTCCTGCCACAGGGGCTTTCCTGAGGATGAGCCTGCTTCACCCCTGGGTGAGATGCCAGCCTCTGTCCATGGCTGGTGTCAGGGGAGTCCTTGCTGGTGCCTTCTTTGTCCTGGGCTGCTTGGCACTCTCCGTTTTCCAGCAGGTGGGCTCATAGCAGGAGCTAGCTGTTCAGTCTTCTGGTGGTGGGGGGGGCTGCCAAACAGCTCTGAGAATGTGTAGACCTGGTCTTTTAGCTGACTGTATCAGCTTTGGGCATACTGGGTGGAGGAACCCGAGTTTGGTGTTTGGGGGGAGAAAGGGGCTCACTGAAGAGGGAATTGGTTTCTCCCGGTGATGGTGACAGACGCGTTTTTCCCAGATTGTGAAAGTCACCCTTCTCTGCCTCTCCCCGCTTAGCCAGCCCCTGCTCTCCCTCTCCCTGCCTCCGACTTCCTCTCCTTGTTCTTGCCTTCTGCCCCTTCTTCCTCCTCCTCTTTCTGTCTTGCAGAACTTTCTTGAGGCCCTGGAGCCCAAGGACCTGGCTTCTTACTTTGGCCCCAGTGCTACCTTTGAAGGTACTTGCCCTGGTGTTCTCTAAGCCAGGGGAGTTTTTCAGGACTTGGGTGGGGTACCTCCCCACTGAATCAGTTCCAGGGTTTTTGATGGCTCTTGAGGGAGGAGGTCGGAGAAGTTGTTTCACCCCTGTTAATTAGCTCTGTTACTTCCTGCCAACTTGATAAAGCTGCTCTGGGTATTCTGGCTGGGCTGGGGTTCTGACCCTAGGCTTCTGTTAAACATCCCACAGGAATGATCATTAATGGGCCAGTCCCTTCCACGTGGCCCCTGCTGGGCTGGCGCATTTTCGGGAACTTTGTGGTTTCTGGCCATGGATGTAAATATTTATTTCATTTGTGAGAAACAAGACAGGCGCTGAACCGGCTTCCTCCAGAGCCTGGCTGCCATCTTCTCTGGCTTCCTTGTGGTTTGCCTGGGGCCTGGCTGGAGGACTGCTGGGGCAAGGCGGCTGCTCCACATCTGCCCCTACCTGGGCCAGGATACTGTTGCCTGGGTTCTGAGTCTTCTGGGTTACCTTGGTGGGAGACAGTGAGGCTGTCCTGGGCTCCTGCTTTCCAGGGAGGCTGGAGGCTCCATGAGGAGTCTCTTCCCTCTTAGTGGGGCTCGTGACATTGCTTGTGAAACATCTGTTTCAAAGCCAAGTTCAGTTTGCTGAGCACTGGTTCAGCCCCAGGCGAGCCCCCGGGAGGAGAGGCAACTTGTCCACCAGTCCTCTAGATGGGGAGGGCAGGACTCACACCCAGGCCCTGCTTCCAGGCCTGTGCACCTACCCACTCTCCTTTGTCAAAGTAGGAGGACCTGGGTGGGCGAGCAGGAATTGGTGAAGTGGCTCCTGTCTTCACAGTGCCCCAGTTCATGGTGGCCCCAGTTACCTGCAGCTGTGAGGATGGGCTGGGGAGCTGCACTGCAGGGCCATGTTCTGCTCTCTGAGGGTCCTTCTCCTTCCACTATGAGCTGGGCCTCCTGGCCCCCTCCTTTACCAGTGAGGGGTTGGTAAACACCTCCTTGAGGCTACTGAGGGGGCCCCCCAGCCACTGCTTCATGAGAGGCTCTGCCCTAGGGCAGCAGGGCACAGTGGCCAGGGTCACATACTGTTCTTCCCACTCGGTGAGTGGGAGCTTGGGACAGCAACAGGGATAGGGTGCTGAGGGTGTGGCTGGTGGGCCCCAGGGTGCAAATTCCCTCAAGGCTGAATGTTCTGACCTGACACTGCATCCCATCTTTGCCTAATATCAAACCCCAGGGAGGGAGATGGAGGCTCAGAAAAACAGGCCACCCATTTAGCTGGTGGCAGAGCCAGATACAAACCCAGCTTTGTGGACCCCAGGTTACTGGGAAAGATGAGAACCTGGGCTCTGAGTGCAGCTGGAAGCCCTGCCACTCCTTACTCCCTGCAGCTGGGCCTCTGCATCTCCACCTGGGTTGTTACAAGGACAACACTGTGTCCCATGTTACAGCACAACAATCTTTCCACAAACAGAGCTGTTTGTACTGTTTTGCACCCTGGTCCCTGAGCTGGGAGCCCCAGCCAGAGCCAGGAAAGATGCCATTCAGGCTCAACCTGTTGACATGGGCTCTGCTGGTCCCTTGAGATGCTTCTGTCCTAATGCCTGGAGTCCCATGTGGGTTTATTACAGGGCCGTGAGCATGAGCAGAGGTTCAAGTGTGGGCAGGGGGTATTGACAGCATGTGGTGCACAGCAAGCCCAGTCCAGGAGGACCTGGCTTCCTGGCTTCCTGCCTTCCTTGAAGATGGGTTTTGGATGTAGACTCAAGAGAGGGCTCAGGCAAGGCCTGCCCAGTGCTGATATCCCAGAGGGCCTCTCCTGCAGGGGATATGGTGATCCTCCAAGGAGAGTGGGTACTGTGTGCTGGAGGCTGCTTTTTCTACTATAGGAAGGTGACATCTTGGTGGGTGCGGGAAGACTGTATGTCCAGCTAGTGAAGAGGCATCACTGGGAGCGGGTGTCTCACTGGAGCAGTGCCCAGCCGCACCTGATCCACAGGCCCGCAGTCCCAGAGTCTGTACAAGGTACAACTGGGAAAGGGAGGGTAGGACACCATAAAGAGCTCAGCAGAGGGACTGACTTCCAACACCAAGGAGGCTCTGCAAAGTGTCCCGCCATCATGGAGGCATCTTTAGGATGCAGGGGAGTCCCCAGTATAGGAGATGGTGCTGGGGCTCATGTGGCCAACAGCTGTCTATTTAGTATACTGCCCACCTTGAGCAGCCCTTCCCTGTTTACAGGGCACATTCCCAGGCATGCACCTTTCTGGTCCCCACCCAGGACTGCAGGACTGAGGTTCCCTTGTTGCAAATGGGGACCTGGTGGTTCAGAGGTGGAATGTGGCTACCTAGGCCCACACAGTGGCCCCAGGACAGCCAGGGTCTGCTACCCACAGTCTAGGATAGTGTAGTCTGAATCTGGGTGCAAGTAGGGTGGTGTGTTGAGCTTTTTCCATCTTGGGGGTGAACCTTTTTTCTAACCTGTGCCCTGAGTGGGGTACACAAGGCAGAGGAGGGTATTGGGCTTTGGATAGACCCTGAGGGAGTGGGAGGGTGCCTGGATTGGTGACCCAGTGGACAAGACAGCCATTGGCATTTCCTCCTGGGCCCCACCCTCCTGTGTGTCCCAGAAGGCCTGGTCCCAGTGGGGGTGTGAACTGGGTTTCTGGCTTCTGAGAGCTATGCTTTTCAAGCTGCCAGACTCTCTTCTTTTAGCTCCCCAGCACCTGCTTTCCAGAAGCATCACCCTCAGCCTTCCATCCACTCCAGGCCGTCCTTCCCCTCGTCTCCAGAGACGGAGACGGGCTGTAGGGGGCACCCTGCACCTGGAACTGCTGGTGGCTGTGGGCCCCGATGTCCACCAGGCTCACCAGGAGGATACAGAACGCTACATACTCACCAACCTCAACATTGTGAGTCCTGGGTGGAGGCGCTGGCCCTTGTGGGATATGGCTTAGGCCTCTGGTGGGGCTCTGTGCTGTCCTTGGGAGCCTCTGGACACAGTGCCCCAGAGCTGAGCTCGGTGGATTGAATACAGATTTGGAGCTCAGGCTGGGGCCAGCTGGGGGCCTGGAGCAGGGAGAGGCCTGGCTGCTGTCTTCTTCCTCCTCCCTCCCCTTCTCCAGCAGCAGAGGTGGAGGAGGTCTGAGAACCCCTCAGCTCTGACAATAGCCTCTTGCCATTAGGACCGTTTGCCTCTGGTTGCCCTCGACTCTGCTCCTCCCAGGGTCCATCCTCCTAACACTACGCTGGAGGTGCAGGCTGCTCACAAGCCTCTGCTCCCACACTCAGTTCCCGCCTCCTGCTCAGGAACAAGCAGGGTAGATCAACGGTCTGAAGTCTAAACAGACAGTCTGTCAGTGGAGAGGCCCATTTCCATTTCTTACAGGGATGAGGGAGGGCAGGGGACACCACTCCACAAACCGTCACCTCAGAACAACCAGTCAGGCAAAGATGATCTCACCCACTTAGTTATCAAGTCTAACCCAACAGACCTGTGGACGGAAGTGCCAGCACTAGAGAGCCATATGGAACAGGCATTGAGAACACCCACTCCAGGCTAGGGGCCAGTCCCTGCAAACCTCAGGGTTCAATCTGGCGGATGATGTTTACCCACCAGGGTGCAGTGACAGCATACCACCTGGTAGATTCAGCTATTAAGAACTGGTCTTAGGAATTTGACTAACTGGTCTTTAGGAACATCTAGGAAATTAGCTTCAGATGATGAGTGAAAACTGGTCTCTTCCTGCCCCTGGTCTGCTCCAGAGGTGGGCTAGAGGAGGTTCATCTGGTCCCAGCCTCAGGTCTATCACCTATTTTGGACAAAAGGGGAAGTCCCCCTCTGCATCTAGTCATTCTACCCAAAGCCCGTCCCCAAGCCTGCACTGACCCAGGTGGTATCTGTGCACCCCTCATCCTGCAGGGGGCTTGGGTGCAGCCACTCACACCTGTTGGTCACTCCCTTTATAGGCATGGTCAAATCTAGAACAAGCTGTATAGGCCTAAGCCCTGACAGTGATGTTTTCTCAGTGAAAAGTCTTTCCTCTAAATTGTTTGAAACTGTTGCTTTCAGATTTTAATCCCTTTCTCCAGTTCTCATATACTGAAATCTAGTCACCCAGCACAGGCTCCCTCTGGTCCTTTATGTTTCTTGAGGACAGCTAGGTGGTGAGGTGGGACTTGCCCATGCCCAGATGCTGCCCAGGGTGGTAGTGGCTGTTGTCAGCACTGGGCACCCACTTTTGCCAAGTACTTCGTAGCTACCTGTCTCTGAGTCTGCCAACAACCAGGGAAGGCTTTATGTCCATTTTACAGATGCAGAAACTCAGTGGTTAGTGAACAGGATCCTGAACACATGCCTAGGAAGCAGCAGAGGTTGGATTCAAGCTCAGGACAGTGATAAGGCCATCGCTGTTTTGGGGACTGTGTCCTTTAAAAGACAAGCTGGCATGAACAACAGCAGTGTGTGGACTTCGAGCTGCACCTGACTCAGGGACCCCCAGCAGGAGCAGGAGAGGGAGTGTGGCTGGGGAGGGCTCCGGGGGAGGAGGGGCCTCAAGCAGGAAGGACAGGTATTGCTGGCAGGTAGATGTAGAAAGGGCAGGATGAAGAGTCTGAGAGAAGCTGTGTGTTTGGAACAGTCCAGGCTAAGGGCAGTTTGCTTCCCCCAGCATGTGGTTTTCTTTATGTTAACTGGCCTTCCTAGAAGGGCATCTGCCCAACTGTTTTGGACTGGCTCCTCATGCTGATGGAGCACCCTTGCCTGCCCTCTCTGTACAGGGCCCCTAGAGCAAAGCCTACTCTTCCCACCCCTGTGTTCCCTCTCCTGTTTGTCCTCCAACAGGGGTCAGAACTGCTGAGGGACCCGTCCCTGGGGGCTCAGTTCCGTGTGCACCTGGTGAAGCTGATCATTCTCACAGAGACCAAGGTAGGCACCAAGGTGGATTTCTACTGAGCTGAGCTGACGTGCAGTCAGCACTCCCTGTCCTCTTGACCTTCCTGTGGATGCCCTAGACCAGGTGCAGGCTGTCAGCCAGGCAGACCTGCTCCCTTTCTGGATGTCCTGGCTCTCAGGTGTGGTGAGCAGCTGTGCTTCTTGGAACCTCAGCTTCTCACCTGTAATGTTGGGCAATGCCAGGTCGTTAGGAAGACCAAGTGGGAGACATACCCACAGCCTGCACCATCCTTAAAAAGTGGGTTGTGTTATTGACCCCAGGATGCTCCCAACATCACAGCCAACATCACCTCGTCCCTGTTGAACGTTTGTGAGTGGAGCCAGACCATCAACCCTGTGGATGTCACAGACCCTGGGCATGCTGACCTGGTCCTCTACATCACCAGGTAGCTGGGTTCCTCAGGGCCAGGCCTTCTGTCTACCATTGACCTTCCTGCCCTCTTCACATGTGGCCTGGCTGCAGTGAGCACCAGTGCCCACCTGGACTCTTCTCTTGTCAAGGTTCGACTTGGAGTTGCCTGATGGCAACCGACAAGTTCGGGGGGTCACCCAGCTGGGGGGTGTCTGTTCCCCCTCCTGGAGCTGCCTCATCACAGAGGACACTGGCTTCGATCTGGGGGTCACAATTGCCCATGAGATTGGGCACAGGTATGTGCCCCACCAGCTGGCCAGAGAGCTGATTTGGGTTCCTAGGATGGAGGGTGTGGTCTTGAGGGCAGTGGGCGTGGCAGAGCCTGCCAATAGGAGTCTGCTCCTCTGACCCACTGAAATAGGAAGGGTAGGAGTGAGACAGGGACATCTGACACTTCTTGATTACTGAATGATTAAAAGAACCCACCAAAAGCAAAACAACTTAGCAATTAAACTAAGTTTTGTAGAAAATTCAGGTTTTAAAAAAAACAGGCTGTAGGGCTGGGGCTG